TCCAGGATTAGATGGAGAAAGAAAACAGGATTGAATTGCATTTAAGAAAATGAATGGTGCTTTCAACCATTCCTAAGCTACTCTCTAAAACAAAAACCCATCTTTTAACCTCTATGTTCTTCTTCTGATGAGATATGGCTGTGGATCATGGATCACCAGTAACTCACAAAATTCCAACTTGCAAGTAACCCAAAAGATGAAGGAGAGGTTAACCAATCAACTGTCCAACCAACACACCATCTAATCAATAAGCACTTATTAAGCAATTATTATGTACTGTGACAAGTCCTAGGGATGGCTCCAAGGACAATATACAGTCCCTACCCTCCAGAAGCTTATGGTTCTGCTAGGGGGATGAATATGCAGGATAATGAGAATATTAATTATTTACATTTATATAGCACTTTAAGGATCACAGGCTCATAGGATTCTAGATTTAGTGCTGGAAGAAACCTTTGAAACCAGTGAAGCCAGCCCCTTCTTTTTACGGATGAGGAAACTGAGTCACAGAGCGATTAAGTGACTTTGCCCAGATCTGTAAAGTGCTTTACCCCCCACTCATTTACTTTCATGCTGATATGGCATCAATATAGCTAAGTATCAATAGGCTGCAGTGTATGACCAGTGAAGACCCATGTGTAAGAAATGCGGCAGAAGGCACCATCCAAGATGGTTGTGATCAGCAAAGGAGGTTGGAAAGTCACACAGCAGAGAACCCCAAGTTGGACAAAGCTCCAAGGCTGTCTAGCCGTTACTGGAGGACACGGATGATAATGGCATTGATGACAAGACTCGGATGGGTCATGATCTCTGCTGCTGGATATTGATGAGCTCACAGACCTTTCCTTCTTAAAACAGACTGCCTTGGTAGGTGCTATTCCCCACCGTTGGAGGTCTTTAACTAGAGGGCTCAATGTCCACTTTGGGGGGAGCTATAGAGAGGGATCCTGCTTAGATCTGGGTTGGACTAGATGACCTCTAAGGTCCCTTTCAGCAGAGATTCTGTGATTAGGAGAGACAGCAGTCAGGACAGGCTCCCCCTCCCAACCCAGGAGAACCAGTGCTCCCTGGTTTGTGCTCCCTGGATCACATCTTTGTCCCTTTCCCCCATTCTTGCCTTAGTCGGTGGACATAAAGTTATTATCTCCTATCCCATCCCAACAGGGCAGAATGAATGAATGAATTTATTAATTCATGAGTTTGCACATGCCCATTCATTCACACACTTGCTCATTCATTCACTCACTCATTTTTACTGGCATTGATGACCAGAAGACATCACATACTATAGCTGGTTGACTGTAGCTGGGAATTCCTTTTCACTCCTCTCCTTTTTTTTTTTTTTGTTTGCTTTCTGGTATGGAACATGGGAATTTCCTAAGTTCATTGTGGCAACAGATCAGCCACAGAATACAGCCACGAGAAAACTGGTTGACCTAAAACATATCCATATCCCTTGAGAGAAATGGACTGAGCTCTGACATGGGAATTTCTCCACAGAAAGAGAATCAGGACCAAAAGCTGAGTTCCTTGTCTTATGTGGCCATCAATTTGTTCTTCTACAAGCAAGTAACTGTATACTGTTTATCCCTCAGTTTCTTTATCTGTAAAATTCACAGCAAGGGCAAAAATATTTGCATAGTCAGTCCTAAAATACTGGGCTTGTAATCTAGGTGACCTCATTTTAGCTCTTGACTTTGACACTTAACAAGCTTTGTGACCTTTGGCAAATTTACTCCCCTCCTTGACCCTCACTTTCCTAATCTGAAAAATGGGTATAATAATACAAGGTGACCCAAAAGCCTTAGTGCAGTTTTGAACTTTTAATACCCTGCATTTGTGATTCCTATCTCACAGGAATGTTGTAAAGATCATATTATAAGGTAATGGGTGCAAAGTATTATGTAGATTCTAAAACGCAATATCATTTATACTATTTATGCTATTCCGAGTGGGAGAAATGAAGAAAAGAATGTTCTTAGAATGCCCTTATACAATCTGCACATACATTAAAGCTCTTATCAAATCAGTGGTATGGAATAAATGATGGAATTGCAGCCCTCTGATGGCAGCCCAATGGGGAACGGCTTAACCAATCATGGTAGATGGATATAACGGAGTATTCTTGTGCTGAAAGTATCAATGAATTTGAAGAATGCAGAAAAGCATTGGAAAACTTGTATGAATTGATGCAGAGTAAAGTAAAAAAAAAGCCAGGAAAACAATACCACAATGATGGCAGCAAGGAGAATGGAAAGAAAAAGCAAAAACAAAAAAAAGAAAACGAAACACTGTGTGTTATTGTTAAAACCAAGCTTGGTCTCAAATAAGAGATGAGAAAACGCTTCTCTCTCTTTTGTTTGCCTGGGTGAGATCTATGGGTGTGAAACACTCCATAAATACCCTTAGACTTCACTGACGTGTTGGTTGGTTGTAGGTTTTCCTCATTCTTGTTTATTTTATTTTATATCTACCATGATCAGTTGAGCTATTCCCTAGTCAGTGGGCCTTGATTAATGAGCTCCCATTCTATTGTGTACTATTCATCTGACAAGAGATTTAATGTCTACACAGATTATATACGGGCATTCCAAGAACATCGAGGATATAGGACGGGAAGAGACTTTAGAATCTATTCCCTTCATTTTACAAAAGAGGAAACTGAATCTAGAAAGTTTATACTTCTCAAACTCACATAGGTAGTCTATGTCGACTTTAAGACTTGGATTCTACCTCTCATCTGTCCCCCTCCCTCCACTCTGGTTCAAGCCCTTGTCACCTCCCTCCTGGACTATTAATTGGTTTCATTGCTTCCAGCCTCTGCCTTCTGAAATCTGAACTCCACGTGGCTGCCAAATGGATATTCCTAATCACGTGACTCACTTGCTCTGTGTTCTAGCTAAAATAGCCTGTTCTTAAACACCCCATTCCACCCCTGTCTCTGACCCTTTGCAAAGACCCTGCCAGACACCGGGTTTGCTCTCCCTCCCTCTGCTTCCTGAAATCCTTAGTTCCCAAGTCTCACTGGAAGTCTGTCTCCTTCTAAAGGCCTTTCCTGATTCTCCCAGGTGTTACTTCTTATGTAGTTTGGATTTACTGATATGTGTACGTGTTTCTCCCAATAGAATGTGCAGGGACTATCTTTTTGTCTTTTTTGTAACCCCAGTGCCTACCTCACAGCAGCCATTCACAAAATGCTTGTTGAGTTTAAATGAATTGTGGAGGTGAGTGAATCAAGTGGTCGTCATTCATCCAGCTGACTGAAGGGTTCTCTCCCTTTACGTAACTGTCTCTCTATAAGTATGTGCTGGGGCGAAGGGGGGTGGTGGAATGGACTGGGAGATGGATCCCAAAGAGAAAGGGGGAAGAGGCATTTTGAAGTTGTAGAAGCTTCTCTCTCTGCTAACTGAGGTTGCCTCTTTACTTTTCTTGTCAAACGTTCCTAAATCATCTTTTTAAAAATGTTTTTGGGGGAGGGGGAGGGCGGAGGAGGAGGAGGAGGAAGAGGAGGCGGCAAGTTTGACAGGGCTTCGATATGCCAGGGTCTGAACCAAAGGGTGATTTTGTGGATGGTTTTTCGGTCCACTTCTAAATCCCCGCCTCTCTCTGTCTCTCTGTGTCTGTGTCTGTCTCTCTCTCTCTCTCACACTCACACACACACGCATTCCCTCCTTACTTTCCACCTTCACATTTTCTTCTCAAATCACGCCTCCGCTTGCGCTAATGTGACCACAGACTATCAGAAACAGAAAAAGGCAGGCCAGGGCGAGATGGTGGGTGGGGGAGCTACCACACAAGAGTCCCTCCCAAGGCTTTGGGCCCAGGAACCAGGGTTCGAATTCCAACTATTAGCTGTGTGACTTTGGGCAGTCGGTTTCCCCTCTCTGTGCCTCAGTTTCCCACTCTCTATAAAACCAGGGAGTTCGACTCGCTGACCTCGAAGGTCCCTAGCCAGCTCTAAATCTGCAACCTTACGAGCTGCCTGGTGGAGATTAGAGCCCACGGGCCCCAGCTCTGGCCTTGTCCTGAGCTCCAAGGGGGTTCGCGGAAGGCGAGCTCCCTCGTCGGGAAGTGCAGATGCTCCTCCTGAAGACCCCCAAGACTTGTCCTCGTGGGGCAGCTCCAGGAAGGGCAAAATTTGCCTCCTTGGGGCAACCGGCTTCCAGCGCCAGGCAGGAGAAGGCTGGGGGCTGGCAGGGACCGCTGAGCCAGGGTCCGGTACCTCTGCCCAGCCCCAGCTCCCTTGAAAAGTGAGCTCCAAGCGCCCAGCGAGCGAAGCGAACTCTCGGGCACGCCCATTGCCTTGCCCGATGACACCAGGAAACTCGGGGGGATTCGGTGGCGGCGGCGGCGGCTTCTTCTTCGGGGGAGGGGTGCCTGCTCAGATTCGGGGTCTCTGTGCAAGTCTTGGGGAGTCTCCTTGAGTATTTCCTGAAGTTCCGAGTACCGGAGCCGAGCCGCAACTTCAGAGAGGTCAGGGGCACTTTGTGATTTCGCCAGTCCTCTGGGGGTTACGGTAAGGAGGCGGAGCTCCGGCGGGGAATTGACGCGAAGGACGGGCAGGTCGTCCAATCGGAAGCCTGGAGCTCTGCCTCCGCCGCCGCGTCCCGCCCGCTGGGTCCATGTGCCTGCAACTGCGGAGCCAGAGCTGAGCCAGGGAGTTAGTTGCGCGGCTCTGCCGGAGCTGGAGGGTGGGAAGGAAGAGAGGCTCGGGCTCCGGCTTCCGACCAAAGGGCGGACCCCGACCCCTCTCCGGGGGAGCGTGGAGAGAGCGTGGAGCGGACAGGGCAGACCATGGCCCGGACCCAGGGACGCCGGCCCCGGGGGCGCTGACGGGGCAGAGGCAGCCTCTCCCTCGACTTTCCCACGAGTCGGCACAGAGCACCCAGGAACTCTCCGTCTGACTCCCCCGCAGGCACCCCATCCCCAGCCATCGACGGCTGCTGACCGCCCCGCGCCATCCCTCCCTGCCTCCCCCAGGGGTCGGGGAGCCCGCCCCCCACCCCGGGCCATGCCATGCCGCTGGACTCGGAGGACACGCTCTACATCGTGCTGGAGCTGGTCATCGCCGGGCTGTCCATCGCGGGCAACGTGCTGGTGTGCTGCGCCGTGGCCACCAACAGCACCCTGAAGACGGCCACCAACTACTTCCTGGTGTCCCTGGCCGTGGCCGACATCGCCGTGGGGCTGCTGGCCATCCCCTTCGCCATCACCATCAGCGTGGGCTTCTGCACCGACTTCCACAGCTGCCTCTTCCTCGCCTGCTTCGTCCTGGTGCTCACCCAGAGTTCCATCTTCAGCATGCTGGCCGTGGCCATCGACAGGTACCTAGCCATCAAGATCCCGCTCAGGTGAGGCAGCTAAACTGTGACTGGACATCCCCCACCCCCTCTAGGGCAATTCCCTTAGAGCTGGCATCACGCCTCACCCTGGCTGGGTGACGGTGGGCAAGAAACGGCCAAGGGGCGTGTTTCTCCTCCTGGGAGATACTTTAGAGAGGGAACCGTGGAGGTACTCCTGCTTTCCTACCCCCTGCCCCAAGTGCCAGTGGCTTTTGTACTGTGCTTTTGATTTGTCAAGGATGGTGTATAGCAGGAATCGTTAAGTTGAGTTCCGTGGACAGATCTCAGGGAGTCCAGAAACTTGGATGGGGGGGGGGGGGATTACATTTTTTATTTTTACTCATCTTTTGTTTCAGTTGTAATTCTGTGTATTTTATTTTGTGCATTTAAAACCATGATTTTGAGAGTGGACTCCATCACCAACCTGCCAAAGGGTTCCATGATTCTAATGTAGGAAAAAGACCAGGTCAAAGGTTCTTATAAATCAAGGGTCTGTGGACCCCAAGGGATCCGTGAATGCTACATCTTTATTCTTGGTAATTTTTGGTTTCCTTTGCAATGCTCTGCATTTTATTTTATATATTTAAAAACAGGATTCTGAGAAAGGGTCCGTAGGCTTTCCCCGCCTGCTGAAGAGATCTAAAAAAATAACCTAGGCAAAAAAGGCACGAAAAAAAGAACCCGTTTGTAGAGAAATTCCTGCTAAGGCAGCCCCAGACCAGCTGCCTCTGAGGTCCCATGAGCTTTTATAATTCTCAGCTGTCGTGAATGCCCAGACATTGGTTTGTAATGTAGGAGCTCAATGTCAGGAGCAGAGTAGGAGCTTAATAAATGCTGGTTGGCTGACCTGGAGACACCCCTTCCATAAAACACATTCCTTCACTACTACTACTACTACTACTACTACTACTACTACTACTACTACTACTACTACTACTACTACTACTACT